TTGGGGCTGGGGGGAGTGGGGCTGCCTTTTGCTGGTGCCATGGCCCAGCTCAGCTGCTTCTCCCGTCACTCCCCGCAGGAAGACGATGCTGAACGACCTGCTGCGCTTCGATGTGAAGGACTGCTCGTGGTGCAGGTAGGTTGGCTGCGCGCTGCTCTCCTGGCTCGCACCATCTCTGCCTACAGGGCTGGGAGGTGCCTCATCTTTCCTCAGCACCTCAGTCCCAGGTGTAAAAGATGGGGGCTCTACCAGGGAGAAGCATCGCCCCCCGCATCCAGCTGCTGTCCTGGCTGATCTCTGCAGGCCTGCTGGGTGGCTGAGCTGTTGGGGAGGCTGTCGAGTGTCCCCACACAGCTCCTGCCAGCCAGGGGACACTGGGCAGCCCAGCAATGGACACAGAACTGTGGGTTGTCACTGTTTGCGCACGCTGTGAGGGTGCTGAAAGGATGCGGGGCAGAGGGACCGGGCTGCTGCAGCCCCTCAGGGCAGGAAAGGTGCCAAGGGCAGGCTCACAGATGTCTTTGCTTTGCTCCTTTGCTCTGGACTGTGCAGTCTGTGTTGTCTTACCCGTGCCTTGCTTGCTATCTCTGCCAAACAGATTTCAGCAGCATCGTGTTTGGAACTGTATATGCTTATAGCGCAAAATCTGTCATAAAATATTAGATGGTGTGATTAAGAAACCAAAACTAGTGAAGACACTCGGGAACAGTAGAGTAACTTATAGCAATTGTTTCTTTTTTGAGTCTGCACAATGGCTTCGAGTGCCTGAAGTGTGACAAGGGTGTTTGATTGCTGCTGTTCTAAATGTTGTGCAGGGCTTTTACCACGGGGACCCCGCCAGCACCGCGGTATCACCACTCAGCTGTGGTCTATGGGAGCAGCATGTTTGTGTTTGGTAAGACAGAGGCAGATTACAGTTGGGCATGCTTGGAATGTTAAATGTGCTGGTATTGTTTTGAAAAAAGAATGAGGTATTTTTAGGAAGTGTCAAAAGATGTAATTCAGTAGCAAATCCGGTATTTTTCATGGCTGACTGTGATTTCAACTTTAGCTTGGAAATGCTTTTGCTGTTTTGTCTAAAAAGACTTGAAACTCATTACCATAGTGTTTCTTTAGGGCTAGGAGTGCAGAAGTCTCCCACCCGTAGTAGTCCATTAGCCAAATACCTTCTCTTTGTTTGATCTAAACTTAAGTTTTCTTCTAATATAATGACTAGCAGTGGGTATGCTCTATCCTATTTGAGTCTAATGGAGTTGTTGTTGCCCAGGTGGCTATACTGGAGACATTTATTCCAATTCCAACCTGAAGAATAAAAATGATCTCTTTGAATATAAGTTTGCAACTGGACAGTGGACAGAGTGGAAGACTGAAGGAAGGTAAGGACCTGGCATCGTTATCCAGCTCTTCAACTGGACTTGAGTGTAACTCAGGAGACATTTGAAATGGCACAGTTAGAATTGGTTACAACACTAATATTAAGGCTGCATGCCAATTTCTGCTATATATCCTTGCTTAAAGTTTTCTGAAAACTATCTTTTGTTCTGAGGGAGGTTTTTGCAGGGCCTCCCTTCCTGAATGTTCTGTATTGGAAATCTGACCAAAATCCATTCTTCACGTTTCATTTCTGTGACAGAAGGGGTTGGAGCAAAGGAATTTTTTTCTTTTGAATTGAATCTTTTTCAAGGATTGCATGAAATTTGTTGATTCCTCATAGTTTCACTTTAGTTTTATCAGAAGCTGATTTAAAGTTTATTTGTAGTTAAATCTACACATACTTTTCTGAATAAAGTTGTGCTGTGGAATGCACGCACTTGTTTGAAGTGCCTTAAAGTGATGTGTGCTCACACAAATCAATTCAGAAGCCGATGAATAGGTTGATGATACATGTTTGGATCTGTTTAACACAGGTTCCTGAGATTCAGCTTTCCAAGGCAAAATCCAAAGCAGTGATACGTTACTTCTTAAAGTTGACTTTGTGCTCTTTTCAGGATGTTATCCATGACCCAACTACATAATGTTTACCACACCTACATATGGGACATCCTAAGTCTTAACCTGCAGTTAATTATGTATTTCAAGTTTCTAAAATGCTGATTTTAGTGGGGAGAGGGAAGGGAACATTTATTGTTGTGATTTGTTGGAAGGGATGAGAAATACCCGTTCCCCTCTTGAGTTACTGTTGCTCACCTCTGATGAGCGTAAGTTACGTTTTAGAACAAGATCACGTTAGTAATTTCTCTTTCTGAGAGAGAGAATTCTCTCTTCAGAGAGTAATTCTTATTCATATTTTACAAACTCAAATGTCCTTGTCTTTCCCCACAGTTACAAGTGTGCAGACTGCACAAACACCCTCAAACAAGCTAACACTACATCTGCTGGACTTAGGGCATCACACTTCTGTTCAACACTTCTTGGCTGATTTAGTAAAAGCAACAAAGGGAGGAGAAACTGTAGGATTGATCTCTTACTTTGGGCACTGTATGTCAGGAACACCCTGTTAAACAATCCCAAATAAGCATTGGGAGCTCTGTCTCGGGCTTCATTGATGTGTTCCACCTACTTAGTGCTGAAAACACGCGTGGGATTTTTATAGCACAAGTGGATTGCAGCTTTGTCATAATGATAGTGCTGCTAATTGTCCCACTAGTTAACTACTTTCTGTAAAATACTTCACAGTATTTGAGGCCTGTCAAGGAATTCATTGGGGTTTTTTCTTTCTTTTTCTTTGTACATGAGTTTTTCTCTAATGAAGGAAGCAGAGTGTAAAGTTGAAAAATGTACCCTTCAGAGGCTTATGTTGTGGTTTGGGGATGTATGACAGAAGCAATTTCTTGGCTTGAAGCCATTTTGTTCAGGGGACTTTATTCTTCTTACGTGTGCGTTTTGGCTGTCATGAAGATCCTTCTCACAGCATCTCTGCAGGTGATCTTGGAATTTTTTGTCTTAATTTTCTCAATTGTAGGTTGCCAGTTGCGAGGTCAGCTCACGGTGCCACAGTGTACAGTGATAAGCTGTGGATCTTTGCAGGATATGATGGCAATGCAAGGTACGTGTGGGGTCACTCTCCTTGGCTGCTTTTGTAAGAGCTTGGTCCGTCACTTTTCACCTTTTCATTGTCATATACCAAGTGATTTAAACATCATGGAGCTTTGCAAAACCCAGCCTGTTGCTGAGCGTTACATTTTCGCAGTTCACCAGTTCATATTCAAATAAGTAGGTGTTTAAAACTTAAAAATCTGGTGACTTAGAATTGCAATGGATATATAATTTGATACTCTTCTTGGTTGTAAAGATGCTAAATGATCTTTGGCAAATGAGCAGTCTTAAAAGATCCCTGCCACAGGCCTTCTGATGTTGCTGAAGACTTACAGAACAAAGCGTGGGTTTTCTCTGAAGTCCTGTGCCAGAGCTAAGAGCAACATGTCGGCTTTTTCTCCAAAAATACGTGGTACTCTTGGTGGCATATTGCACTGAAATGCCAAGACTATTTAGATTGGAGGGAGGTGAGATTTAGGATGGGAAGGGACTGGAAATGAGTGGTACTGAGAAGGTAAGGGAGAATCGGGTACCTTGCCCCAGGTGGGAGCTCTTCATGTTTGCTGTTGCTCTGTCAGGGAAGAATGAATTCTGAAAGCGTAACTTCTCTCTGTCTTGAGGAACTTGAGAAGTGTTTTATGTTGATGCCCATCGTGAGAGCACATAGAGATTGTCACAAACTAGGAGAGCTGCCTCAGCGTTCTCGGCTGCCTCTTCTTCTGAGGAGAATCTGCAGAACAGTTATGGGCTCCTCGAAGTCTGCAGGAGAACAACTGCCAATTGGAAAAACAGATGGAATCTTTTCTTTATTTCTGGAGGAGGAATTGGAGAAAGCTGCATGACTCTGTGGAATTACTCAGTTCCAGTTTAGGGAGTTCCCCAGGGACCTTGAGTAGCTGGAAGGAGGGATTGGGCGAGAGGAGCTGTCTAATTTATGTTAAATATGTCTAATCTTGTTAAGAAATGTCATTTTGTGGAACATGAGCCTCCAGGCAGATTTGAACAAAGGAAGCATCTGTAGTTGTCTGTGAGTAACTTGTGCTGGGAAAAGCACAGTCAGATAGATAGGCTGTAGTGATGTGTCGGGTTACCTGCTTCATCCTCCGTGCGGGGCTTGAGGTAGGACTCAGCCACAGAAATAATTGCCATGGTCAATCTCAGGGGTTGGCAGGGATGGGTAGAAAAAGGCAGGGTAATAAGGGGTATTTCTGTAAAAATCCTGAAGATTAAATAGCTCAAATCCTTAAGCTCCAGGCAGAGTTGCTGTGTGAAACTGTTAACTGTAGTACGCTTGTAACCAGAAACATGCAAAAACAAGCTTAGGTGGTGGTATAAAATTTAGGTAAAGGATGAAAGTAATAGTTTTTTCTGTTGATGAAAGTAGGAGATTCTTTCTGTGCAGGAGGAGGAATGCTGATAAAATAGGATCTCTGTCCTTTCAGCTCCATGAGCTAAAAATTTCTAAAACCAAACTGTTTCAAATCAAGCATTTTTTGTGTTATAACCTAGGTTAAATGATATGTGGACAATTGGCCTGCAAGACAGAGAGCTAACATGCTGGGAAGAGGTGAGAAGCTTTAATTGGAACTAACACATAAAATTTTCTATTTGGTGTTCATACACAGTTATTTAAAATTTCCTGTGCTGGACTGCACTGCTCTCTCTTCAGAACGTATTTGTCACACAGCTGAAAAGAGACAGTTGAAATTTGGTTTTGTTTATGTATTTAGAAAACCAAGCGTGTATGAAAGTGTAATTTTTGCTTGTGAATCTATGAGCAGGACCTCAGCTATCTGTGGTGGCTTGGCTGTGCCCCCTATAAAACGTGGTGCCATTTCCCCCTGTAACCACTGCCAGGGGCTGGGAGCTTGGCTGCTTGTCAGGATCAGAGTCCTCATCCTTGGGGGGGCTTTCTGTTGGGGGCTTTAGAAATGTGGCCTCCCATCCTTTTTATCTGTGGTAAAATCGGTGTTTACACGTCTGTGCAGACATGTAAGCACAGCATTAGTTGATTACCTGTAGCCAGATTTACAGGGACTTGGCTGTCTGCCCCCAAGGGTCTGTCTGTCCGTCCGTCTGCCGATGCACTGCAGCACACTTAGCATGCAGAGTTGTGCACTACAATACTACATTTTTAATTTTGAACTTCATTATCTTCCAGATTGAACAAAGTGGTGAAATTCCTCCTTCATGCTGTAATTTTCCCGTGGCTGTTTGCAAAGACAAGATGTTTGTTTTCTCTGGCCAGAGTGGAGCAAAGATTACCAATAATCTCTTTCAGTTTGAATTCAAGGAAAAGATGTAAGTGTAGACAGTTAAGTCGCACAAAATCCGCATAATCCTTGACTACTTGAGTTGAGAAATGCACATACTTAAGGGTATTGAGGAAGAACGCTGCATCTCATGGCGGGTAGATAAGATAAAATGTGGCATGTTTTAATGAGACATTGTCATTTGTTGTGTCCATCAGCGAGGTTTTTTTCAGCAGATGAACAGAAAGTTTAGTGGATTCACTTTAACCAGTAAGTATGAATCTAAGTGTATTCAGAATGGGATGCCAAAAGTTATATGAATACCTGATTAAAACCGGACAGAGGTCCTGTGAAATACCAGCTCATAGTGAAATCACTGGGAAATGTAAAATGCATAGTTAGTATCTTTTAAAATCTTGAGCATTTGGGTTGAGATATTTGGTGTGACATGCTCAGGGTGTCGACCATTGCTGTGAAAATGTCACCCCTCTGATGGAGGAAAAATGCCAGAAAGTGGGAATACAGACACACTGGTCTGTCTGGTTACTGGGTGAAGTGGAACCACAACTGAAACAACAGCTAACAGCTTCCAGCCCTTGGCTGAAAACATGATATTGTAGTGAATAAGCCATCCCTTACCAAAATGGGGCGTGGTGTCAGTGGTGCCCTTTACTTAGAAAGGTTATCTGTTAAAATGTGTGATAGTAGCTCACCGATTCCTTCCCCAGTTGTGGTCTTTGAGCTGCTGGAGTTTGTGTAAATACATCTGGGCTGTGGAACCACGTTGCCTTTATGGTGCCTTCTGTTAGAAGTTTATCAACACGGCGCTGAGAAATCTGCAGGATTAGTCATTGTCTGTTCTCATGCAGGTTCCATAAATACTGTACTAGAGCACCTCTTCTTTATTCTTACAGTCTGAAAGTTAGACAACTTACTTTGCAGAAAAGAATTGTAAAAAAAAATGTACTGTTTCGTGTTTAATGTCTCAGTTGGACACGAATTCCTACCGAGCACTTGCTCCGAGGCTCCCCTCCTCCTCCCCAGCGAAGATACGGCCACACGATGGTTGCGTTCGACCGGCACCTCTACGTGTTCGGCGGTGCTGCCGATAACACGCTGCCCAACGAGCTCCACTGCTACGACGTGGACTCCCAGACCTGGGAAGTTATCCAGCCCAGCCCAGACAGTGAGGTAAAACCGTCAGCCCTTGGTTTTTCCTTTTATGTTCTGCCTTTTTTTGACCCATTTTTGCTGTCAGGCTATGGACATGTTTTTGACAAAGACATTGACTTTCAGTTAAATAGTAATAGCTCCTTCCCACCAATGGTTCAGCACCTGAAATATTGTGGGCAACAGTTTTTAAAAATTAGTCAATGTTGACACATTTAAAACTTTGCTTAGTATCATTTGAAGAAATACCATAAAAAGCTTGTAATTCAGGCTATGAGTCAATCATTACTTGACAAAGCTTAGGAATGAGGTCACTGTGTGGAGCAGGGTTGTGTGGTTGGCTGTGTGATGTGTTGAAGCAGAATTCAAAACCAGACAAGGTTTTGATTGTTTCACTGAAATAATGCCTGTGTGCATAAAATCGTATAAATTCTGTAATTATACAGTATAGCTTTTCCCTTTTTTAGGTCAAGTGTAAAGAGTTTGCTACTGTAGAATAATGATAGAGTTCATAGGGAGGCTAAGAAATGGCTTTTTTGAACATAGTTGCGTTAGATGTGTAAATTTAAAAATGTAGGTTCTTTACTCCACATAAAAAGGCAGTGGAGCACCAAGGGTCAATTAAACACCCCAAATAAGAAAACATTAAAAAAAAAAAAAAGAAATTACGAACATGTTAATGTGTTTCTTTTGGGCTACTCGTTACAATGCAGTGATTGTGTGATACAATGTCAAATTTTTTTCATAGCTCACTCATATTACTATCTCAGGGATACCCTGGAATTTCGAGGCAAGGTGCTGGGGGTTGGCGTGGTTTCAGTACACTTTTCACATTTCAGTAGATGTGGTTTCAGTGGTCTCTGATCCTCTCACTCCCAGAATGCACAAAAAAGTAGGTTTCTTGAAGCCTGTGCTAATATGTGTCTTTCCTGGGTTTAGAATAGTTACATTGACTGCATTTGTTAATTTTAATAGATTTTAGCTTAAGCCATATTAAAATGCTTCAGCTGATTTAATAGTGGGTTTGCAGTGTGTTAGCTGATCTGTGGGAAAAAAATATTTGATGTTTGTGTGCTGTACAGAGTGTTGCAGAGATGAAAGTTATACCTTAAAGAGATGGAATACTAGATGAATTAGGATCCAATGGAGTTTTATGAATTTTGCCTGAACTGGTGTGACAGAGGTGCTCACATCTTGGCTGTTGTGCTGTGGTTTAGTTTGTTTGCGTATAACTCAGCTTTTGATGAATAGGAAAATACCATTTACACCCGGCTCTTCCATTGACAATGCATGTGGGCCTCATTTTGAAGAATTATTTGACCAGAATATTTCATGGTAGTCTACTTCATGCTTTACAAAGCTGATTTATTTTCACATAAAATTATTAAAACTGGATCTCCAACTTTTAAAAGAGCCAGTTGCCTTCAGGAGTGCAGATCCCGTTCTGTTCCACCAGCAGGATCATTTGACATCTAAGGCTGCATCAGCCACTGGTTCTCTGTGCTGCGATCGCTGATGGCTTTCGAGAAGAAAACTGCTCCTGACAGTGTTGTAAAACAGCGTTATTGCCTGCCTCATCCCTGCTAAATTTCATTTTGTGTTTCAGAGCCCTTTCCGTGGGCTGCCTGTGAGCCCAGGCAGACGGCTCTGTCAGAGGCGTGTGTTGTATTTTGAAGTTTCAGTTATGGCATCCAGAGACTGGTTTCATAGAAGTGGGAAGAGAGATTGAAGTGCTGTTGAAACACGTGATAGTAAATTGTCTTAAAAGACTGATTGACTCCAAGGTCTAAGTGAGTTTTGGTGTTTTAAGTAAGTTTTAAATGGTTTAGTGTGTTCTGGAGTGATAACTAGATCATTTCTCAGAGTTGTTTCCCTCAAGTTCCTATGAGCTTTTGGCAAAGACTTTTAATGGTGGCACTGAATCTCTAATACCATACTGGTCCCAGACACTTTGAACTTGAGGCTTCCTTTCTTATCCATTTCTGTGAACAAAATTATTCACATTAAGATGAAACAAAATAGAAGATGATGAGTGCAATGCTGTCTCAGCACTTGAAGGATTCTACTTGTGTGTGAAGTGATGGTGACCTCTGTTACAATGCACCAGAATAATCTGTCTTGGCTTTTGATAGACTTGGGTTTTTTTATCTTTTTCTAGTGGATGGATTCTATAGCGTATGTTCTTCTTGTATTTTTCTGTATTACATTATATGATCTTATAAATGCTACATTACAACTTTGCTTAACAGCACTATAGCTGGGTTAACTTTCATACTTATCATCATGTGACAAATCCCCCTAACTCTTTCTTCTTTTGGACATTTAGGATTGAGTGGGTAAAGCCTCCAGAGTCCAAAATAAGGCTTGGTGCTGATTTAGCTATTAGTTCAGTAGTGATTTTTACAGTGCTTTGCAAAAGAGATTTCTTATGCTGAAGGAGAGTGACTGCTGCCATTCCAGGCTTTCTCGTTCTCTGAATGAAGACTAAGCCAGCCCTGAGAAACTTTTGGGAGTGATCCAGGTAGTGATATGGACTTGTCAAACCTCCATATGCCAGTAGTAGAAATAGGCTGTCGGGTGGGCAAGTAGCCCCTGTTATGGGTGACATGGAAGGTGACAAGTCACATGAGACTGAAGAATCTTGAGGTTTTTACCCGGAGAAGGTGACACAGTGTGAGCCTCAGTAGCAGTGGTGCAGGGGGACTCCCAGGAGGGTGGTAGAAGCAGTTCTTGAGCACAGCAGCAATCGAGTCTCAGGCGCTGCCAGTGCAGTGAGACAATCTTGCTGCTTCTGCATTTTGAGTAAGGAGGTAGAACAAAACCTGGAAAGGTTTCTGGCAATGGGCCTGTTGTAGGTCTCTGCCCAGGTCTCTTGGAATTGTTGGCAGTGCCTTGCTGTGGTGTGGAGGGTGGGAAAATGGCTTAATGAGTAGAGGAGGGGAAACTGAAGTATAACAGGTTGGGACTTCGCAAATAAACCAGGAACTCCCGTTTTATGCTTTTAGGATGTCTCCAAAATGAATATAAAGACATGCTTTCTGAACTGCACAATTGCAATCCATAGCTCCTTGTACCTTCGTCTTGATGCTATAATATATGTACATACATATTTTATAGAGCACACAGAGCTATTCTCCATCCTTCGTGTTAGATGATCCTCACGGCTGGGGGTTCTGCTTTTCTGAAGCAGCTGGAGGAATATCACATCTGAGTCCCTGCCTGCACACTGCCAAAGCCTCCTGAGGTGCTGGGTTTCCTTTATACAGTGCTATCAGAGGATTTAAGTATAATTTAAATATATTTTCCTGTTTCTTTATTGTCCTCAAGTTTTCTTGTTGAACTCAAAATACCCTTGGCTTTCTGAAGAAGGTTGGAACAGCATAAAAAGTCAGCAGACAGTAAAAGGGAAGATGCCCCATCTTGCACAGTTGCTTCCCAGCAGACAGATGGACAGACAGACGGACGTGTGTGCCCGGCAGTCACGGTCTGTGCTGCAGCAGGGAACAGCAGAGGAGCCCAAGGTCTGGGAGGGACATGCATCCATTTGTGGGCACAGTCCCACAGAATCAAAAGTGATGTTTGGAAACAGGCAGACGAGGTGTCACAGGAGGAGGATGATGAAGAAACTTCTTCCTGGCAGGGCTCGAAGGGGGTCGGTGCGTGGGACAGTTAAACTGCCTGTGGGTGGCCCCCCTGTCACCAGGTGAGCTACCACCATCCCCAGTGACTGCACCCACTAGCAAGCGATCTGTCTCTCCTGAAGTTATAAGAGAAATTTCTAAAACTTGGCTTGTGAAACAGTCTAGTCTCACAATTAGGCCTTTTAAAGTCAAGAGCAATAAAAATTTCTGATTTTCAAAGCTCTTGATTTTTCTTTTAATAAGCAAAAAGAGAGGTTAATGTGTTGGTAACCTTCTTTGGCTTTCTCAGAGGCACAGGTCTGGATTTCTTCAGATGACGTGGTTTGTGGGCAGCTAAGAAGGATTAAAAGGACTTACTCATCCTGCTGTGGGTGAGTCTGTCACGCTCTCCCTGTGCAGAGATCGGTTACACTCCTTGAGGTATCTTCAGGCAAAACATGTTATTATGTGAACAAACCCCTGAATTCCTGCAAAGAGGCCCCTGACAAGATCTGCCTTCAGATGTGGTGAGTGTAGTTGTCAGGGCATCGTGTTCTGCTTGCAGAGATAAAATTTAGCATTTCACAGTCCAAAGAGAAGACTGATACTTTTTATGTTTATAAATCATATGTAGTGTTCAGACTTGCATACTTTTTAGAAAACGTTTTAAAAAAAATAAGGATCTTCACACCAGTGACCTTTTCAAAAAAATGTGCTCAGTAAGCTGGAGACATCTTGAAAATGTTACTATTTATAAAAGCAGGGTTATCAGAGGAACCGTAGTTAAGATTGTTGCACAGCTCAATTTCTCTTTGCCAGATCTACATTCATAATCCTTTCTGAGGGATGATTATTACACGCTTCTACAGAGTTCTCCCAGAGAAATCAGAATGCAGGTGTACGGGGGTGATAGGCAGAAGGAACATATTTCTGTAGCTCACTTACTGGTAAGAAATTAGAACAATACAGCGTTAACATGACTCATATTAAATGGGTGTAAAGTTGGATAACTGAAAGATAGGAAACACGGTTTTGAATGAGGAGAAGTTACTCTGCTTAGGTCCTTTAGGGACTGGTTCCTGTTGTTGCATTGCTATAAACTTTTGTCAATGACCTTGAAAGAAAACAGAAAACCACAGCTTTTCCCTGATATTTACTAATTGTCCCGAGTTTTGCCAATTAACGATTAAAATAGCAGTTCACTCAGTGATTTGGGTTTCTCCTTAAGGCAGGCACAAACAGTATGTGTCTCAGTATGCACTGAAGCAGCACGTGCAGAGCAGGGTGTGTGATCTGTGCTGAATGGTTTCCCTTACAGTGTCCCTGGAAACAAACGTAGGTCGTGGTGGGTAGCTGAGACAGTCCCTGCGTGCAGAATGGCTGAAAATGCTGCTGATGTTC